ATGAGTAGACCAGCTGATTAATTATAATCCTCTTCCTTGTAGTGTAGCTGATGTCAGTAAGCAAAGCAACTGGCTGCCACTCTGAACACATCAGGTATTGCTCCCCTTCACAAACTGCAGATAAACCTCCTTAATCTGTAATCTACACAAGTTCTGTGAGTCTGGATATGGTGGGAGCTTTATGCTCTATTCTCAGCCACACTGAAAAATGGGCATTCACAGACTGAGAAATAACAAAGAAAAGTCTCCATCAAGATAGTTTCTGTACCCTTAGTGCCTTCAAAGGTATTTTTCCAAGCCAGGAAAGGCCTGTATCAGTGACCAATTTTAGAAACACCTTCCCCTCTCGCACACTTAATATTCGTATCAAAGAACAGACAGTGATCGGTGTAATCAGCCAGGGCGTGTGCCCGAGCTCTGTTCTTGCACTATTGATGGCAGTAAAAATCTCAGCACTTCAGTTTGACCAGCTTCTCTCCTCTGTACTCAAGCTGCTTGTTACAGTAAAGCACAGCCAGTGGTGTGACAGAACACACCCTCTCCTGCCAAGCTTCTCTCCTAGTGCAGCCGTCCCCAGAGAGGAAAAAAAAAAAAAAAGACAAAGAAAAAAAAATAGAAAAAGAAAAAAATTCTATGTATATGGGAAGGGAGCAGAGAGAAATGCAGACAGCAGCAAAACCCACTTGTGGGATTGAAGGGTGACTGCAGTGTCCCAGAGCACTTGTACAGCAAGTCAAGAGGAACCCCCAGCACTGCTGGAGCAAACATTACATCAGTGACACTTCCTCCACACCCTGCAGTTCACCAAAAAACGGAGACCAGGCACACTTGTCATTTCCAAGTGGATCCAGCACAAAGGAAAGGCTGCTGTGGATCCCAGGCACAGCACAGGAAAGGACTTCACTTGCTCCATGCCCTATTCCCTCCACCCACAGGCAGACAGGCTCTGGCACTGAAGACCCAAAAGGAGTAATGAGTACTCCAGCCACATGCATCTGGGCTGTTCTAAGTCAAACTTAATTAGGCTAGAGCAATTTTTATCAAATCCTTATGCCTACATATTCTGCACTGCTTTTCCAGAAGAAAAAACCCACATCCTTACAATCTGTTGGCCGCAATGTTTTTGTGGGGATATATGTCCTACTTTGATCTCTATGTATGGCATTTTTCATCCAGTCTTCTGGTTTGCTCAGTACTCAAATAAAAAATTAAAATGTAATTTTTAATGAGTCCATGTTTTACCAAGTTTACAAAGATTAGGGAAAATAGACTTTCCGTGCAATGGGAAATATTATGAAGAAATCTTCCTATAATGTAACAGCAATCCCTGTGTAAAAATTGACAAATCTCCTGGCAGTTCACATGGTACATGCAGGATTTGCTATGTTCATATATAAAGCCAATTAAATATACCATTGCTAAGTAAAGAACTTAAATAAAACAAAGTAATCCACACCTCTACCACTTCAAATTTAGGAAAAAATTTGTTAAGAGCCACAAATAGGAATTGGAACTGTTTTCCCCTATCCAGAAAAAATTATTTTGACAAGATAATTTAGTCTAACCTGGAAACTTCAGATCATGAGAAAGTATCTGTTTGTCTGGTTGCTCATTTGTTCTGAAAGGTTTCAGCTACTTCAACAAGCATTGTCACGGGATTAGCAAAGTAAAACATCAGTTAAATTATTGCTGTCCTCCAAAGTGAGGAGATTCCATTTAGGAGACCATAATTCTCTTTTACGGCACCTTCAGATGAGAGTGAGGCACCACATTTTTTTCACAGAACAGATTTAATGCTGAAACATCCATATCCTCTTTGAAAAAGGCTAAAACCACAAATTTAACAGAACTCTCCAGACCACAAAAGCCTTCCCAATAAAACCATAATTTGAGTAGATAAAGTATCCATGAAATATTTATTTTCACTCTTCTGGCCAGCTCCAAACCACACTGCAGTTTTAGAATTTCATTCTGAGATGTCTGTGGTCAACCTGCAGGTCCAGGATGCTGTCCAGCTCCACTCCCCCATCCCCTGGATCTCTGCAATCCCTTTATAATGGGGTTCTATGGATTATAATGAGAAGCCACATGGGACCCAATCAATAGGCAATCCCTGCAGCCTTTCTGATACACAGTAAAGCACGATAAAAGAACAAAGGAAGGGAAGAAAACAAGAAATGAGACTCCTTTCCTCAGGGTGGAGGCACTTTTTCTAACCAACCCATGCTTTAATGGAGATACAGGCAGTGGCTTGTACACGCCCATAAAGTCATGCTTCTCTTTGTTTGCAAGACAAAGGTAGCAAGGATAATTCAGGAAGGATTTATCTGTGACTTTTGTACAAAAGGAAGACAGGGAAAAACACTCTTGTACTAGATGCAAAAAAAAAAAAAAAAGAAAAAATCCATAGTCAACTTCTATTTAGAGTTTAAAATTCAGAAACAATGAGGGCAAACAGCATGACAAATTGCTATTAGCAAGGTTTGCTTCATAATTAAATTACTCTATAGAAGTTAAGATTATCTGGTACACCTCCAACACAGCCAGTGATATGCCTTGGGTTAAAACACAGTTATCCAGAGAGGCCTCAGGTCAAAACAAACACCACAGGGTCTAACCTCTTTTTAAAGAAGTATTTAATCCAAATAGGAAGATCAGTTTAGTACCAGTGCAGTTTGTGAGCTAAGACAGAAGGTTATAGGACAGCTCTAAAAATTAGTGAATTCTCCGGTGGGAAGATTTTTTTTAAAGTAAAATAAAAAATAAAAAAAAAAATTAAAAATGAAATAAAATTTATTAAGAGAACACACACACAAACCCCCCTCCTGGGGTACAGAATTCTGACTCTATTTTCATGAAAAAAAAATGTACAACATACATGGCCAGAAAAAAGGACAAGTTAAAATATACATCATAGCCTGGATATAACTTTTAAATCACTATCTTTATATGGAATAGGTGGTTGTGAATAATCTACTGTACAACCTAGGGTAATAGCTCTGAACTATTAAAATGGTGCCTTTCAAAAACTTGCAAATTCATCTCCCAGTCTGTCAGTCTGATCAGCCTGCAGACACAGAGTAAGTGGGATGACTCCTGGTGCTTTGAGATACCAAGAACTCTGTTCAGAACAATCAATCTGCCCACCTCAGCCTACAAGCAACACAGCCTGTGTCAGCTGCATGGCATCCCTGCCAGATTGGCATGGCTTTAATTTGTCAGAACTCAATTAATTAGGTTAACTTAAAACGTTGAAATGGAAAAAAAAAATAGAAAAAAGGCACCCCAACAGCAACAAAATTACAGGAATTAAGTCAAGTATCTGTGTCAAAGCCAGTAAAAGCAAGTTTCATTTCCAGGGCACAACAAGGGATCAGAGCCAGGTTTGCCATTTTAGTTTTTGCTTTCTTTGCTGGAATGAAAACACACACTCTTAATATGTTTGGTTTGTAAACCTAACTTTGATGTTTCCAGTTCAATGGACTTTGAGCAATTGTTGTATTATGAAAGATGAAGGGTACCTATCCAATGTGCTGGATTTCCTGCCAGAAATTACAAAAACAAGACCAGCCACAGAATACTGAGTTCCCTTCTCACCCACAGCTGGGATTTTTTTCATAAGCTTACCTCAGAGCAGGAGAGTGCCCCATGGCTAGGCTTTGTCTGAGGTTTTATTAAAGAGCTTGAAAGGATCTTTTCAGCAGAAGTCTTTCCCACATCACCACAATCCCAGACAGACTGTGACATTTTGCAGAATTACAGGGAGTGGAGTTGGTTCTAGAACAAAAGCACTGCAACAGAAAGCCAGGTTTCCTGGCTTCTCTAATACATTCCCAATTTCTTTTAGCTGCTGATGCTTCTTCTAGCTTTGCAAACAGAAGCTACATTTCGATTTTATTTGCTCATTTGGATACAGATTGCAGAAATTCTCAAAGGTGGTAGTGACACAGGACTTCTTCAGAGAGAAAGAGGAGCTGGAGGCAGGGGCTCCAACACCATCTCAGTGTGAAACCATCTCCCTGTTTTAGAGATGGGGACATGGCATGGCAGCAATATTGTAGAAACATCCTTGTATCAGAGTATTCTGTTCTTTATACCTACCTCTGGACAGGTTTTATTTTAAAAGAAAGCTTCCAAGGAGCATTAGTGTCTCAATATTCTGCTTGGGATATACAATATGTTCTAAATACTGAATTTGACTTTGTATTTGAAGTTTGATGGTTTTTCTTAACAGAGATACTCGGAGAAGGAAGACAGAAAATTAAGGAGTCATAAACACAAGCAGCAGCATCTACATTTACATACAATGGAAATCTCTTCCATAGTCCATCACTTTTCCTGGCACACTGTTACCAGTCTGGCCATGAGCCACAAGGATGTGTGGGAACTGCATGTCTTTTTCTAAAAATCGATTTCAAGTTAAGCAGCAATGACACATCATATCACAAACTGACAATAAGATTTATATTGACCCTCTCCCTAAACCAGCCTTTGTCTATCATGTTTTCTCCACCAGGAGTTTTTGACAGAGGCAAAAAAATGAATCGAAGTACTAACAACGTTTTACAACAGAAAGTGCCCAAGGAGAAGCTGAAACACACACAGTGACTTCTAAAAAGGGACAGAGAGGTTTCCAACCTTCTGGTTTTGCTTTTCTGCATCACCAATGTATAGACAAACATATACGCAAAATGAAAAGTGCTCAACTCAAGGAAAAAATCCAGTGGCTTTGATCTAACAAAGCTTGGCATTAACACATTTAAAGTGGAAACAACTTCAAATTTTATTGTTTACCTTTTGCATTTGAAATTTTTCAAAAATCAAAATTTTAAATACTCATGTTTCCTCTCTGGTTTAGGTATATCATGAATATTTACATTGCTGGGAACAAGTTACAGTCATTACTTACACTAAGGATAAGCAACTATATTTCCATTTGTAGGTTTCAACATAATGAAGTGCTTGATTACTTGCTGAATTGATTACTGTGGCTTTCTTACCTGAAGGCCATCTGCTTGTCTCTGTGAGAAACAAGGGTTCAGGTCAACAAAAAGCATCTCATGGTGTTGAAGAAGATATAGCAGGAGGCCATTGTAAAGCCTTTGCTCTTCGCAAGCCAAGGGACTGACAGGGACCCTAAGGGAAGAGGAGGTGGATTAAGTTTAGGAGCTCTCAGATCAGGGGCTAATCATGAGTCACACAGGGAGCCCTCCCAGGGCCCAAGATAATTCAGCAAAGCAGCCAGCTGAGTGACTGGATGAAAACAGAGTTCCCCATTTCTAACAAGCAGTTGTTGGGACAGGGACCTACAGTTTGGTGGGTTCACAAGACTGGGACCTTCGCAGTGTCAGAGCTCCAGTTCGCTGATCCACAACACAAGTCTTTGTGGCAGCACAGCAGAACCTGACAGCGACTCAGACTCAAGGTTCAGAAAATCAAGGATTTGATTTCTCCTGTTGAGAATGGGAGAAAAAGCCCCAGAAATCTGCCAGCACTCACTGACACTGGGCCGAAGAGAGTAGTTTTGTACTAGCTTAGCTTATGAAGGTGAACTCTGATCACTGGAATGTTTTATTACCAAAAATGCCTGGAAAAACCCCCCATAGGTAACAAACTGCTTCAGCGTATTAATTTATAAATCCACAGACATCAAGCACATCATGCAGGGAAACTTGCAGATGCTCCCATTAACAGGTTGAGTTTGGGGGTTTTTCTCTTTATTTCTTGCTTTCCCCACATATTTATTTTGAAAAAATAAATAATAGTTGAACTTGTGGTATCCATGCTAAATTGGAATAAATTAAAGTCAAGGGATCCTTGTATAGGATTCTAATCTCATTCCCTGAAGGACCTGTATATTCCCCCTGTGAACTATTGGGAAGCTTCGAGAACATTTACATAAATGCTATCTATGGCCTTCTCCAGCCACACTGCACCAACTCAGTTCCACCCAGCACAGTATTAATATTTAAACAAGACATTCATAAACTCTGGAGACTAATGTGGAACATGAACACACCAGTCTTCTGTTTGCCAAATCAGTACATTCATTATTCATTTGCAATTTTAAAGTGTAAACATACACAGTGGGCCCAGTCCAGTTGCTTTCATTCACATTCCTCTTTTGTAAACTTACTGTTGTTTCTGTAAGAACTTGAGTCCAGTAAGAACTTTTGAAAGAAGATGGTTTAAACAGAGTTATAGTTGCTTTATGGTGAACTTGCCACTGGCTGCCGCAAGAGAGGAGCCCCAAAGAGAAGATACAGGGACTCCCTGAAACAACATCTCAGCCTTGGCCATATTGATCACCATAACTGGTCTACTCTGGCCTCCAATCGGGAGATCTGGAGACACACCATCTGTAACGCTGCTGATGCTTTTGAGAAAGCACGCAGGATCACCCTTGAGGAGAAAAGACAATGCAGAAAGAACCACATTCTTGCAGAATACACCATCTAAGGAGTCTTTCTGCTGTGCCTTTTGCAGTCGGTCATGCCTGTCCCGTATTGGCCACAAACGTGGGTAGAGCCCTTCCCAAATCTTCATTCACGAAGCCCGGCCATGAGCCAGGTAAAATGTAGACAGATTTACAGGATAAACTACTGTCTCATCACTTTCTTTAGGGTTGGTTAACATTTTTCTTTTGTGAATTCCTATTTTTCTTGGGAGAGACTCAGTTTCTCCACAAAAAGCAAGGCTGCATGTAAACATGTAAACCATAGTTGATTGAGCAACAGCCTTTCCCACATACAGCAATCCTAAGAGATTGTTCATTGCTCACCCAACATTAATACCCTCAACTCACAGGCCATAGAAGCAATATTTTTCATCCTTTGTCTTCTTTTTCAACTTTTTTCTTTATATTAGACATCTGTTCCCAAATCCACTTCTACCAGCTCTTAACTCCAATACTGCACAAGCCATCCATGAAGATAAACAGCTCTCACGCCACTTACTGAGTCCCACTTTCCCTTACCAGCAGCCTGTGTTTTGGATGCCCAGTTCTCCTTTCATCTTAAAACAAATCCAAGCTATAGACTGGGATAAGCCCCTGCAGCTGACTCCAATATCAATGTCTCATCAGCAGATATTCACGGGTGGCAACAGGTGTGTACTCCAAATATATAGAATACATTTTTAGTTTTCTCTGCAGCCACCTTCCACAAAGACTTTTAATTAATTTTGTAAAATAGTCACTTCCCACATGTTCAGATACTTCTGCCACTAGCAGAAACTCTATTAACTGGCTGACAGCAGGGGAATCAGGTTCACACACTGCTAAATCCAGGAATATGGTTCCTAGAAGAAAATCTAGGAAGAGCACAGCTCCTGAAATGTATTCTGCATTCACTATAGAAGCCCTGTAATCAGTTATAGTGAAAATCAAACACAAGAGAACATTCACTACAAATAAGGAACAAGTAAAACTCGATCATCAGGAATCAGCTCTTTTCAAAGTTCTTTGCCACGAAGTGCAAGCTAAAAAATCCACGCAGTCCCTTGCCTTGGCTGTGCCCAGGAGATCTGCCAAGGTTCCCTGCCAGCAGAGGCTTGCTGCAAATGTACAGAAAGAATGAGTCAAAGTGAGCAGCAGCAAACAGCTGGCTGGCTAACATGCTTATGCACTCCTGCAAGGCTTACTTACTGAGGTTAGTACCAAAAATCTCTTTTCCAAGCTGAAGCAAAACGAAATATTCATAGAAATCGAAGGAACATCAGTTTAATCTCTGACAGAAGCGTGGCAACACGTTTTCCTAGGCATTCCCAGAGACTAGGGGAACACAAAACAGTTCACAAGGAGGATGAGTGGCAACAGAAATAAATAGTTCGGAGAACGAGCAGAAAGAATGCAACAGCAGAAGTTAAGAGAAGGGTGGAGCTAAGCAAAGTCCAGGGAGTAGGCAGCCTGAGACCTGACCTGCAAGTTATGCTTCTGGTTCCCTTACCTACAAAGAGACAAGGACACAAAAGCTGCATCATGCACATGTTAAGACTGAGTCACAAAAGATCCATAACAGATTCCAGGGTCTAAAATCTAAAAGAAAAGCCACACTAACAGTGATGGTGAAGCAATTTAACAGCAGTGAAGATAGCTTAACTCAGTCTCATGGGGAAAAAAAATAACATGAGGGAGAAAGGCCCATAGAAGAAATAAGAAGGATCTGTTTTCAAAGATTAAGGTAAAACTAAAACATTTTACTTAGTTATGTTTTTTCTGAAACATAACTTCTTTTCATATATTCCCTCTCTGGGTTCCATCACCCTGAACAGGGAGATACATACTAATAATACAGTAGAATTCTTCCAATGTGAATCTGATTTCAGTCAAATATTGAATGTAAGTAGCATTAAAGTAAGGGGCTACAACAGATTAAAAATAGATAAGAGGCAGCTTATTTAACATTCAGTTTCACACAAACAGTGATATCAGTTTCCTAGCATTTAAAATCCATGATGAAATTTTCCATGACCCTGTAACTAGACTTTCAGTATAAAACCTGTGTTAAGGCTTATATTTTTTTCTGTTGCAATTGTCATAACTACTAATTCTGAGGTATATGCAGTTTAGGCTTGCAAGGTATAATGAGCAGCAAGTTTAATATGCTAATTCTGTGTCCCCAAGGCCCATATGTGTCCATGTTCCAACTACTGAATATTCCTACTCGGTCACTTCAGTGAAACTATAAGCATGACAGGTCTCCACAAATAAAAGTGTCAAAAGATTGAGACAGGTGATAATCCCAAACAGAATTTATACTTGAATATAAATAGATAAGAAATTTAAAGTAAGAAGGCTCATAAACAACCTAGTTCAGTTGTTCAATGTCAAAGAAGGAAGAAGAAATTGCACAAAAATGCAGATTGCCAGAATACATGCAGAATATTTTTAACACCTGCAGTGAATTAGTGCCATAAGTGGAGCTGACATTACATCCAGGAGGTTAATTCCAGCAACTGAATGGAGCATATATTTCTGCAGATTAGATCTAGAGTTGGTTTTTTCATAACCTTCACGTTTTGACTGAGCAATTATAGCGAGCACTACCCAACATGTCTCAGTTTCCAGTGCAGCTACACTCTGGCTGCCAAATGTTTCATAATGTGGCAGATAATTGCACTAATTCTGGCTCTGAAAGACATAAAGGATATTTATGACTTTTTCCCCTGTGTCAGCAGATATGATTTGCCACAGCTGTCTACCTTGAATTTTGCTGCTCTACAGGACAATACAAATGATTTATTCTGAATCACTGAAGCCCTCAGGTCACTCAGCAGGAAGTGGTACAGCAATCTCACCGAGAGAAAATGCCAGTTGCAAAGCTCTTGTCTCCACCCAACTTCCAAAAAGGTGATTTTTCATAATCCCAGGAGGTAACTCTCCAAGGACAGAATCAGCTAAACACTTCACAAAAAAGGAGCTCCAGAATTACTGGTTTCTCTCCCAGAGCTGGTGAGATCAGAATGACTGTAAAAGCTGAAGATAACATTTATAAGGAAGACATATTTCTATTTGTAGCTGTTGTCTTGACAAGTCAGTAGCAGGGAAACCCAACTCTGATTGCTTTCAAGGCTTCTCAGACAGGTCATTGCCACAAATACTTTGTTTAGCACTGAGGGTACTTTAAAAACCAGACAGAGGGACATCTTCAGAAGTAGCTAGACCATGTCCCAGAACAGTGGGTGTCGCGGTCCAAATGGGGGAGGGGAATGGGGCCGCGACACGGCACGGATCCCAGACACAAAGGTGGGGTGCAGGTAGAATCTTTAATCCAGCGCGCACGCGGGGTTTTTATCCGGAGGGAAAGGGCCAGAACATAGGGTGGAGCAGGAGACAGACAAATGGGGGAGCAAATCAGAACAGGGCACAGGCAAAAGGGGGAGGAGGAAGCCTGGGCATGTGCAGTTGTGCACTGTGTAACATGAATACAGTGAAACCACATAATAACAGTAAAGTCCATATGAAAGTCCTGCCAATTGCTGTATGCTTTTCTCCATGCCTGGAACTGTTCCCATCCTGAATCTTGCTTCTCTACAGGTGGGACATTTAAAAACTGAAGCAGCTCAACAGTCAATAAGGGAGCATACTGGATTCTCATGTGTAGGTCAGTGGGCACACATTCAGAAAACCTGGGAGTGGAAATAAAGGAATTAAGTCTTCTTGCATGTGTGTGCATGCACAGAAGCCTCAGGTGGTAGCAAAGGTCTCCTGATGGCAGAAGAGTGACAGTCAGTGAAGCCCTTTTTGAGTTAGTGTAGGGGTCAAGGGATAGTCTTCTGGCAAAGGCCTTTTAGTATCAGCCTTTTACCTGTTTATAAGTATCACCACACAACTAATCCAGACACTGAAAATAAACCTCATCTATCTACTCTCATTTACTAACTAGCATGCAGAGATTAAGGAACTTGGGGTTTGATTGCAAAACTGCCTTGTCCCATCAGCAAATACCCTCCATGGTGAAGCCTCCTCTCACAGGAGCAAATGGCATAACTCCTACCACATCGCATGTTAGATTTGTCTCCATGGCTGTACTTTCACTAAAGATATAAACTTATATCACCTGCAAAGGTCATATGTTGGTACACCTGGCAATAAACCCACAGAGCAGGTAAGCAGACACTAAACATAGACGCTAAACCTGTGAAACAGCAGCAAAACCCCAAAACAAAGTCTGTCATTGATTGGTGCAAATTTTGCTGAATACGTACTTTTAAAATGAACTTGGCTTGCCACATACAGAAAAAAAAAGTGAATAAGGCTTTTTTTATTGCATAGAAGATCCTAATTGCTAACACATACATTTTGTAAAGTGGCACAGGCTCATAGTTCACATTAAGGTTGACATGGCTATGATCCACTAAAACAAAGGTTTACAAATGTAACAGGTATAAATATTTTAACATCCTCTAGTGTCTACAATGAAGGATGGGATAAAAAACTAAACCATTCTAGTTTCATTGAAAAATCCTCCATTACCTGATCACACTAGGCTGTTCCTTCTTGTCATCTTGACTTGCATGGCATGTTGTCCAGCCTTTCCTTTTGTGCCCACTCACCATCATCCCACACATAACTTGTCTAGCTTCAGCCAAGCAGTCACTGCTTGCAAGCTCAGGGGGCCTCTGCCTGGATGTCAACTTGCATTTTAGTGGCAAGGGCAGAATGAGTTGCTTCTCATTCTTGATAAAGAATCTATCTTAATTTCTCTGTTATCTAATGATATTACAAGGTCAAAGTCAGCATTAGCTTTTCAGAATCGAGTCTAACAACTAAGCAGCCTGCACTTCAGTTGGCTAGGAAAACAGCTCTCCACCTGTCATATCTCTTCTCTTCAGATGTTTTCTTCCTTGAGGTTGGACCTGTCTAGTCAGTGCCTAACAGAATGAAGGTGGTCAGCCAGCTCAGAACCTGTCACATCTGCCCAAAATATACAGTATAAATATTTAACTTTCTAAATGTTCCACTTACTGTTGGACATACAGCTATGACAAAAAGCCTCATTGTAAAGTGTGACTTGGCAGAACTGTTTGAGGTGGGTGAATAGAGTACTCACTTGAATAGAGCAGGTCCAAACACAATGGAGAGGTTTTCCAGAGTCATGAAATTCACTTCACTGTGCATTGCTATCTTTAACAGGAAAGCAGACAGGAACTGAAGAAGGTTTTGATGGGCTTTGGGCAGGCAGGTCAGCAACTGTTTCATGTTCTCTATGCATTCTGTTGTGTTGATTTTGTGCTCTGGTGGGGGGAAAAAAAAATTATGACAGGCATTCCTAATATCAACACAATTTCATCATAGATATTACTATAGATTTGAGAGAGACATTTTAAAATATATTAGAGCAAAGTGAAGAATAAATATGTCCCAAACAAATCATTTGTACTCCAAATTTTGACAGCAGTTTTCACAAATGAATATTTAAGTACCATGGATTTTCCAGATACTGAGTTTTACATACACTGTTTCTGCTACTCTTCCTGTTATGACAGAATTATCCAGCACTTGCTGCTTTCTTAATGGAATTGCAGGCAGTAGTCATGTACCTGAATCCTTAAAGCTGCCTTTAAAGATGATATAAGGTTGTCAGCCTTAACTTTCCCGAGAGATTTTACACATGTTGCATGATTCTCATTAAGGGAAATAAGAAATTGTACCCTTTCAGCCCCACATCATCTTCATTTCCTGACTAATTGGTAGCTCTCAGACTCCAAACATCTTTGGTCTATAAATATGCAACTGTAGCTACACAAGAGATGCTTAAAAATCTAAATTGGAGATACTTAGCATTTTCTTGGTTCTCGTTCTTCAAAGAAGGGTAACAAGGCAGAAAATAAGTTCACAAACAACTCCATTTGATCAGCAGTTCAGAATTAGTATGATGAAGTCTCCTGGCTATTAGAATTGAGATGACAGTACTGCTCAATAATTGGCAGCTGATGCTCGAATTTGCCACAGATCACCAGGACACATCTGCATAGCTTTGACATTGTGAATAGCAAATCATGCCCTAAAGGGTAATTTTAGCCCTAAAAAATACATTTCGTGCAGGCTAAGGCCCAGGGTGCCCAGCTGATTAATGAGAGAAATGGAAATGAGGATGGAGAGGGGGAAAAAATAAAAATATTTTAAAAATAACAGCAAGACAGTTAGAAGTAGACAAAGTGTTCTCAAAAAACCATAGATCTTTCAGCATAGATTCTCACAGTTCATGAAGCTGATTCCTTTCTCTTTCTTTCCTTTTTCCTTGGAAACACTTACACTGGCACCTTGAACAAAAGCAACCTGCAATCTAACTCACTCATTTGTATGTAAACACCTGAATTAGTCATCAGTCAAAATCACTGGGCAGAATTGTCTGAAAACATTAGCTCAGCCATTATAGATTTAATAGGGAACTAGGCAGTGTATTGCTGCAAGTACCCGTCCTGGCTTTGCATTTTGAAAGCTTCATGCTGCTCCACACACTGCTGTCCAAGAAGATTATAAGAGGATTAGAAAAATAAATATTAACTAAAAATAAAAATAAAGTTCTAAGTAAGAACAGGGATGCACAAAAGAGTTCCTGTACCAGGGAAGGTTAAATAGAGAAAGAGGCCTCAGCTTGGAAAAGAGAGAAGTGAGGTAGTGGGTATATAAAGACACAAGCAGCATTATGATGGCGATTAGATTAAAAACGAAGATGTTATCTCAGTAACAAGTAAGGTAAACAATTTAAAAAGAAAGCATGCAGAGGGGTACTTTCTCAAAGAATAAAGGATAGGATTGCAAGATGCATTGCCACAGGATGCTGGGGAGTCCAAAAGCCTTAAAGAATTAAAAAAAAGACTACAGACAAGTTCATTGAAACGTGGTCAATCAAAAGCAACTAAACATCAATCTCAGGTTAAGGAAACATAAAACCTTGCTTAGAAAAGGTACAATGAACACATTATCTGTCACTATCAGAGAAAGGACAGAAGCTTGGAAGGTGCCTGTTCTGTACCTTGGAAAGTTTTTAGCAAGCCAGAACAAATGTTTTCTGGAAAAACAGCCACTGGTAGTTCTTTCAGAAAGAGCTTCAGGAGACTGGCCACAGAATCAACATCTCCATCATTAATAAGGTCCACTTTTTCTCCTTGATTATATTTCTGCTTTAATTCTTTGATTTTATTTACTGAACCACCAATTCTAAATATACCAACACGCTCCAGACCTGTTTAAGAAATATAAAACAGCAAACAGTGGTTGCATTACCATATTTGTGTGATAAGAACTCAAAACTCATTTGTTGATGAAGCTCAAAAAGCAAGAGCTCCTTTAAGAAAGCATAATAATTGTAAGTATAGATTTTTCAGCACTTACAGCTAAAAAATACAGCTTAAACAAAGAATAACAGCTTTCAGAGGACAAACAGGGAAAACAGGAACTTACCAAACACCTCTAGGTACTCCACCATCTGTGTCACAAGAGAAGGAACCCCACATTGTGTCGCACCCTGAAGGAGGGTTTCCAGAGGAACACCAAATGTGCTTCTTTCTCTGCTGAACTGTAGGTCTGGTGAAACTTTATTTGTTGTGTGCCTGACTTGAATAGAAGAGAATGATTTCTGTGGAACAAAACCAGACAAGTGATAAGCAGAGACTGGCTTTTATTGTTTTAAGATCCGAGGGTCTACAGCTTAGGTAAAATTATTGTCCTTATTGTAGCATCTTAGTACAGACTGCATTTCTACTGCATATTGTTAAAATACTGATACTACCATTCTTCTTCTGCAGAGCTGAAACAGGATCTGTGATAGGGTAAATCCCAGTAAAGCCCATTCACACCTACAGTCAGGGAAAATGGGACCTCATGTCAAGGCAGATGCCCTGTTTAGGACATGGAGAGGTCATTATTCCTCAAAAGAACCCCAACAGTCAGAAAAAAGCCGACCCAGTGCTGGTGCACAGCCTTCCAACCCCATGAAATTTGTGAATTTCTACCCAATTCTCAGAGACAAAAAAAATGCAAGATCCACGGAGGGAACAGAGGAGGAATTGAAGCAGCAGCCACAGCTCGAACCTGGCAAAGGGTTCCTGTCTGCTCACCCAGTAATTCCAAATTTCTTACCCCAATAACTCATGGAAAAACTTATGTGAGAAATCATGAACAACCTGCACTTGGGAGCTGCTTTTTCATCCTGTGAGGACAGAGAGGCTGCCCAGTACTTGGGCTGGGAAACACGTGGGATGTCACAGGGGTTGTCTGTCCCAGCAGGGCCAAGGGGTCCCTGTGAGAACAGGAGGGGTTGCTCCGGGGGGGGCACAGCAGGTTCAGACCAGTTCTGTAGCCCCTCAGATGGCACCTCAGGGGATGTATGTAAGAATATAGATATAAATATATATTTAGATATATTTAGAATATATAACTTAAATGTATATTTAAGAACACCATCCCCCAGGGACATTTGAGAAAGGGGAAATGCTACCTGGCCACTCCATAAAGAGTCCTGGCTCCCTCATTCTCTTTCCCTCCTCTCCTACCCCCTGCTTGCCTCACAGGCAGGGGACATTACCCACAGTGCTTGCTCTGCCCTCGTGTTCCTATCAGGCAGTAATGCTCACAGTCACAAAGGAGAGGACCCTTTGCCACCAGGCAGTGACAGCAGAAGTTCAAACTAGGAACACCCAGATTTACCAGTTCTGCACCAGGAAGATTTAAACAGTATCTACATCTCATTTTAAAGCAAGATTTTAATTATTTTTTTTTTAAGTGTTACCCCAACCCATTGTAAAACCTGCCTCTCCTTAAATGTTTTTATTACTATGTTCTCAGAAGGAAAAATGAAAGATTCTCCTATGGATTTGTAGCTGAACTGCTGTAGTGAAGCTGGTTTTCGTACATACCTGCAGCAAAGCCACAAGCTGGAGCTCCAGGCCAGCCGTGCTGCCATGGCAAGCACTCACACTCCACTTGAAACACCCGAACTCATTTCGCTCTTACAGTACATAAGCAGGCTTAGAACATGACGTTAATGTTACAGCATTAATAATTACCTAAAAGGAACTAATAATATCAGCGTGCACCAAACCCTTATTTTACAGCATTTTTTTATATAAGCTGCGAGGTGTTACAAAAAGCCTCTAAAATATCTATCCAATGCTATTCTAAATCCTTCCCTTTTCCCTCCTCAGATGCAGCAGTCCACTGGGGGAAGAAGCATAACCTTACCAGGAAGGAGAAAGGATGTAAGAAAGGACCAAAGAAGTCAGATTGAAGTTACTCACGCAAATCGAAAGGGAGGCACCTGCTCCCATGTTAGACTGCAGCAGAGTGCCAGTATTTCAGCTCTGCTGTTCAGAAGACACATCACCTTTCTTCCCCTCACACATTTGTGCAATTCAGCCAAAGCCAATTGCAGCCATTGGGCTGTTCCTCTGCAATTAACTTATCATAGCATAATTGCTAGGCACCATTCTAATCAGTGGTTTCACTCCAAATTTGTGGAAGGTAGAAATTAACTGCTTGTAAAAGTATATTCCTTGTAGCCAGCACGTCCCTCCAGAGGCACCCTGCACAAGCTGAGGGCTGTGTTACCGTCAGGAGATGTTTCCATGGCACCTAACACACACAGTGCCACAGCTTCCTGAATCATGCTGATCCTGTGCGTCCTATTTACTTTTCAGTGGTTTTTGCAATGCAGGTTTGCAGACATTCATACTACCTGCTGTCCACTCTGCCTGCTAGCAGCAGCAAGCAAAATATTTTGACATGGCCTGCAGTGTATACATATTATTGCTACATGTTTATATAACACCTGAACAATCATTTTGGTAAACATACAATCAAGGATCTATCCAGTCTTTGGAATATGGAAGATGAGGATATAGCTAAGCCCAACATCTTCTTTATAATTCTTTTAGATACAAAGCCTCTCCTGGGAAATAAGCCACAAGGAAACAAGTCATGCTGCAGTTAAATCTAATTGGGGGAGATTCTTAATACAAGTCTAGTAGGTACCTACAAAAAACCCCAAAACACACAAGGCAAAAAAAATACAGGTGCTGAGACAGACCCTCTTGGTAGAGTACTAGAAAAGAAGGAGTTACTCCATCAAGACACTGTACTGCTGGCACAGCACAGATGGCAGAGATCATTCCCTCCTCCTCAGCAGAGGGAACACCACTTAAAAAACTGTACAGATTTTTAGCACGCTCACCTCCCCACGAGATGCCACAACGAGGTCTGGATAATGCTGCAGTTTAAGGTTTTCTTGCTCTACCTGCTGGGGCCAGACAAACAGCCCTTCCCAGCACCCCAACAGGATCAGCCTGGCCTTGGCACTGCAGATGTGCCCATTGTCTCACACAAGATCCAGCTGTGCCCATCATCTCTGCAGACAAGTTCCACCTGTGCCTATCATCACTGCAAACAAGCTCCACCTGTGCCCACCATCTCTGCAAACAAGCTCCACCTGTACCCACCATCTCTGCAAACAAGTTCCACCTGTGCCCACCATCTCTGCAGACAAGTTCCACCTGTGCTCACCATAAGGCTCTCAGAGCCACCAGCACCTCAACCAACCGTGCCTCTGAGCTGGCAGCAATTTGCACTCTGCAGAGAAAACCTCTCACGAAAAGGCCTCTGCAAAAATTATAAAATAAAAAACCAAAAAAATCAACAACTCTCTTAACTCTTGGATCCCTACCCCACAGCACATTTCCATGTTCCATCTTGCTAGGTGCCACAGGAATCATTCTGCTGACACGTCAATCATCCCTGCTTCACCTGAACACGCTAACTGTAGGCAAATAGCTTTTAAAGCAACAAGTTCTCTGCCTGGGCAGCAAGTACAGCTTTTATCTGTCAGATCGTTACAGAGCAAATGAGGCAGCAAGGACCACAATCAGCCTCTTGGTCTGTAGTGCTCCTCTAACTGCAATTATTGAATAATTTGCTTTCAAGTCCTGACTGCAAAATTCAGCAATGCTCACAGAAAATGAACATGCCTCTGTTCCCCAGGAAGCCTGCAGCAGCTAGAGGGCACACGAGGCTTGCCAGAGAGGTGGTCCTACAAACCTCACTGCAGACAGAGCAAGGAGCCCCAAACCCCGGGCGGGATTTTCCTTTTGTAGCAAGTAACACGGCTCGAAGGGAAGATTTCTCCATCGCTGTTGTACAAAGAGCAGGGGGCCGCAGGCAGCACAAACTGAACACGTAACTGCTCATACTGTGTAGCTGCAATTCCAACCCTTCCTTCACAACCTCTGGATCAAAGTCAGCCCCTGCAGGACCTCAGATATATGAAAAGGATGTGTGGTGCTTTGAGAAGCCACCCTGACTTCAAGGGCTGCCACTAAATGAAAACCAAAGCTTTTGGTCTCCCACCACCCTGCTGCCCAGGGGAGGGTTTGTGAGGAAAAGCAGTGCCCTGGGCCTGGGCAGTGTGAGGGGCTGGAGGAGCATCGAGGGTTGCCTTTGTGCTCTCTTCACAGAAGCCATGGCCTCCAGCTACTGAAAGGACTGCTTGTGAGGCTGGCTGATGTCTCAGAAAGATAAAGGAAGGACAAACATGAAAGGAAAACAGAAAAGTTTAGTTTTCCTGCTTAGAAAACAAGGGGTTTTTACAGAAGCATTAGAAACAGCAATATCCCTGTGAGGGAGGGCAGAGGTAAATCCCCTGTCAGCAGCAGTGAAAAAAAAAATAGCAGTAAAGAAAAATAATTAACTGAGGCTTCATGGTTCATTTAAATTTTCCTTCAAAGCTGTAAGCAGCCTGCTCTGCTAACCTTAGTGATCTGTATCTTGGCTTTGGGAGTCTCCAAGCATCCAGCCAAGTAGGAAAGAAAGCCCTTCCTGGTGGGCAAGAGCCGAGCAGTGGAGCATGTACCCTGCAGGGAGGCTGCGGTGGGGATGGGGTGTGGGCAGTCCTGTCGTGCTGCTCTCCCTGCTGAGGCCCAGATCCAGCTGCAGAGGCTGTGGTGGCTTTGGATTAGGAGTAAACACTGGGGCAAGCAGTCCTGCTGATGCCAGCTGCAGCCTTTGAGCACTGGGTGCTCAGGATCAGAGCAGAACCATGGGGTTCAAAAATGAACCTATAAAGCTTAACCCAAAGCAAAAAAATTCAATCCAATGGCAACTGCTAGCCTGCCCCTCCATAACATGATCCTCATTATCCAGTGACAACTTCAAAAGCAACTTTTCAAAGCTACGCAGGCATACAGTGCTGATTTAAAAGATCAATACTATATGTTTTTCATTTAAAGCACTGTTCACCATAAACACTGTGTTTCAGTCACGCTGCTTATCTTCTGATATTTACTGTTACCATAAACCAGAATTTGTGATGCCTTGATTTTAATTGCATTGAGGCCTTGATGTACTTAGAGTGTTTAGATCTTCTTTCTTCTATTCTTTAAGTGGACAGCTTAAGAGAAGATAAACCTTACCAGCATGTCAGAAAGTCAGAGAACATCCTAAATACAAATTAATCAGATCATGAAAACATCACTAAATTTTTCTCATCTGTACTAAAGAGTCCAGCCCCTCTGTGACTGCTTTGCTGGAGGTGCTAGATTATGCTCTTGAACTGACTGTGTTATATCCAGAACACGGGACATTACAAGTTCCCATCATCAACCTCTAGGTCATTTGAGCTGCTTTAAAAACCTTTTATTCCCACGTGTCAAAATAAATGCCAACCTGGTGGAGGAGAAGGCTCCAGGGTAGCATCCCACAGGACCTCACAGCTGATATGCCCCAGACAGCTGGTCAGAGCCCTCCAGCTGTGAGACATCATCTCGTGCCCACCCCAGAGCTGGGGCCTGGGGAAAACATGGGGTAAAAATGGCCAAACAGCTCCTGTGGGAACTGAGGGAGTCAGACAAGGCACTGCAAGACAGAAGAAATAAGAAGGTGATGTTGTAGCAGGACTTCAGGGCACTGCTCAAAACTGCTTAGAAAAGCACAGTTTGATTTGGGTGGGCAACTCAGATAAAAGTCACTGGGCTAAGTTGAACCACTATTGCTCTGACTTTGTAGTTTGTATTGACTTTTTAAAAATAGGATAAAACACCACAAGAAGTCCATGAACCCATGCCAAATGAGTGTATGCTGACCTCTTACACTTCAGCAAGTAGGAGACTGGAAATGCTAAAAAGCCCTAGTAATTTGTCTAGACGGAAGAAAACCAGAAAAATTATGTTGCCTACTTGACTCAAAGTGCTCAAAACGGTCCTGTTCAGGAATGTATTTTTTTTCCTTTCTCTATGCAATCTTTTGGAAACAGCATTATCTGCTAAATGCAATATGATATATCAGTTGCACCATCTCAGTCTTGACAACCCTTGTGAGCTAAGCCCATAAAAGCATCCCTGAATTACCACAAAAAAACAGTCAGGGCCTGATATACACAGATGAGATTCTGTCAGACAAACCTGTCTTACCGGCTTTCAAAGCAGGTTTGCATTTCACAGACAGCATTTGTGTATTTTATTCCAATTCATCATAAGCCACTTTAAACTGAAAATTAGTAAGTTCTGAAAATTTACACAGCTTATAGTATATGGACCTGGTATATAAAGTCTAGAGATTCTCAAACAAAAAGAAAAAAAATGGAAATATGAGTTATAACCAAGACAGAAGTACAGACAGGGAAAAATGCATCTAGTATTAGGTAATCATTGGCACGAAATGAGGCATCTCTATTTTGACTACTACCATATCAATATAAGTTTTCCTACATCTTTGCTGCTAAAAGTCATAATATAGACCTAAAGATTGGTTGCCACATATCCCTCATCACAATAATCTGACTGCCAACTATGTCTACTCACCAAGTTAAATTATCAGGAAGAGTTGCTGTCCTGACAAGAAAGCAGCTCTCCCCTGCTGCGGCTTGCATTGCTTTTCACTGTGCTTATGGAACAAGTACACAGGCCACAACCTCTCCTGCCAGGCAAGCCCTTGCCAGCTGCCAGCAGCGTCTCCTCTGACTTTATTTCTGCTCCCAGCTGATCAGATGGTCTCCTCGGGATGTGGGAGCCCAGGGCCAAAGATGGGTATGTCTGCACAGCCAGTGCCAGGCAGGCACATGGGAACTGCCCCTTCTCCACCAGCCAGGCACACACTAGCCCAGTGCTGTGCCTGAGCAAACATCTCCTGAGTCATGGCAAGCCTCTTTCTTACTGTAGACACAGCACCTGGCAAGCTTGGTGTTGCTTCTCTCTATCTGGACCCATCTCTGGCGAGGGCTGTGTTGGTGTCCTGAGGTGGCTCAGCAGAGCCTGTTTCCAGGCAGCTGAATTACAGGCATGTGGAGAACTGCCCAATGAAACAGTGGGAGGCAAATGCTCAGACTGCTTGCTGGCCTTTTTTGTCTTCCCAGCCTATTACACTCTCTAGCATCATTTTCCTTTTAAAGGCTTTTTGAAAAGTGTGCAGAAAGCTGCACACTTCCTTGGCAGCTTTGCAGAACTGAAAGTGAGTGGCCAGTGACAGGTCAGTAACTATCAATACTCTTCTCTTGGAGTGAGACGTCTTGAAGGTTGTTTTGGAG